CGCCGTTCTTTTTACAGCTCCTTTGTCAGGCTTTGTTTTCTTCCTGCAGACCCACACCTCATCTCCAGCAGAAAAAACAGAGAGACACAGATTACTTCCCTTAGTTTCTGGTGTTTTTAATTTTGGGAGGCACAATGCTTAGTGAAGTTTCAGGAGGTTAAGGGGCTTGTCCTGTGGGAGACCAAGGGGGTTAAAGGATCACAGTAAGTCTTATTCTCATACTTGTAGTCTTCAGATTTGTTTAAGTTCATTTCAGTTATATTTGCTATATTTTACTTATGTTACCTATTATATTTTTACTTATTTTGGTTCATTTTTACACTTATTATATTTCATTTCAATTGATTGGCAGCCTAGAGTAAACTGAGAGGGTTTATTAGTCTGTTATTTGGACAGCTGCCCAGATTTGTGCCCCAGACTAAAAGGTGGCACGAGAACACCTGTCACACCCCAGAGAGGGGGAGAAAAGAGTCTTTAATGTTAATATTTCATATTTTTAAGACGACACCCTGTGACAGGTTCATGTGTTTATGTATCACCTTTTAATGAACTGGACACGTGTATGACAGTTACCTCAGTGGAGTACTGGGCATGTTCATGATTTCTGGAGGTGTCATTAATCAGAGACAAGTGTCAAGAAACTATGGTTTGCTCGTTATTTTTGTTTTATAGCTTCTGAAGGGGTGACTGAGGCTGACCTCTCTGGGTTCAAATACAACAGTGTCTATGGCGCTGGAGGTCAAAGAGAGAAGGGTGGGGTAGAGCATATTTAGACCAGGAGGTGCATGTAGAGAGTATAAAAGATGCTGCAGGAGCTCTGTAAACTGTTCTGCTTCACGAACCACAAACAGAGATATTGCCATTTGTGATCTTTCGCAATAAACCCTAAGCCTTGCTTCAGACTGAAGAGATTTTGAGTGTTTTTTCAAAAGACAAGGGAATCATAACTGGTGTGTGGCTGACTTCTACTGGCCCAGGTCCGGTTCCACAACAGTCCCAGTTGTCAAAAGCGCTTTTAACATTCCAGTCTTTAGCAAACCACACTGCCCTTTCAGCTACTCTATTAGTGTGGTGACCTGCTCTCCTGCCTCCTCCATCAGGTATATGACTGTTTTATTTTTGAAATGGTTTCTATTGTGAAGACATAATGTCTTTTTATTATGAAGCTGTATGAGCTCTCCTATATTATTTGCTATGGTTCTTTCCATCAAGTGTTCACACTTGTTCGGCGGCTGAATCATGCCGTTAGCTCCCTTCCACTGTATCAGGGTTAGGAGTGCAAGTCCCTGAAGCTTTGAGTGAAGATCACAAAGTTGTGCTAAAGCACCAGCTTCTCTGTTACCTTTTCTGAGGTAATCTTGTTTGTTTGTGTGGCTTTCCACCTTAGTCCAATCTATGTCCACAGATTTGGATGTTTCTGCTATTATTTCTCATTCTTGGGAGTGTGATAGTTATCTTCCTTTTGTGTCAGTGAATTCTCTACACTGCCATGTTTCTGGTTCTTCTTTACCTGCTCTGTAGCAGTAGTCACTGTCTGTTACCAAGTGAAACTGGTGACTACTGCAGTACAAGATTCCTTTTAAGATGTCATCCACTTCAACTGCCTGATCTGAGCCTTTGCATTTTCCTGTTTTCTGAAATGCCTTCACATCCCCTTTCTTCTGAGCCTCTTTATCTGTATCCTTCTTATTTCCATCTGTAAAAAGTGCCCATTCTGACTCCATCTTTCTCTCTTTCTTTGGCCTTTCTTTTGGGAACAGGTTGTCCTGTTATGTAAAACTTCACCTGTGGATCCACCAGTATTAATTCCCATTTTCCCCATCTAGAGGTAAGGGCTTTTACTCCTTCTACTCTTCTTCTTTTAAGATAGCAAAAGGTGTACATATGTGAATTTTTTATCCTGCAATTTGTCTCATTGTGGAATAAAACTTATACAAACCAGCTAAGTGTTGCTTGACAGGGCAGAACTTTAATTTCGTCCCTTTAAATTTTCTTGAAAAAATATGAGGGTTTTTTTTTTGGAGCCTGGGTTATTACACTGAGTGGGGGGTCCTCCATCCTCTACCTATATATACACATCAATCCCCTTTTCCCAGTCTCTCATTTCTAGGTCCTGAGGTGTCACTGCTTTCTACTTCAGGGCTTTCCAGCTCTCTATGTCCTCAGGGGTGATTTCTTGTGCTGCTTTTGTGCTACTTAGCTTTCCTTTCAGTTGATGTAGGGGGAAGCTTCTTGAGCATATCCTCTGATGTGATTTGCAGCATATTCTCCCTTCCTAAGGATTCTTTCTACATCTTTGAGGTTTCTTTGGTTCTGGAGTTTTCTCTGTCTCCTTTAAATAGTCTGGCATGACTTTTTTTGTTTGTTATTTCAAATCCTAGATATTTTAATGAGTGGTGAGCTATTTCACACTTCTTCAGCCCTACTTTGAAGCCTGCTTTTATCAGTCTGTCTATCACTTCCTTGAACACTCTCAAGTGTTCCTTCTCATCATCATGGCTGAAATAAATGTCATTAATATACAGTGTTACAGGGAGCCCTACTAGTATAATACACAGGTGGGAGACAGGAAGGATAAGAGGTATGTATTTGTCTCTTGTCCTGGCCTTTAGCTGTTCTGAGGGGACCTCTGTCTATCCTGGCTAGTGCTGGATCAAATCTCACTTCTCATGTCTCTCCTACAGGATTATCCTGACCTCTTGATATAGGTGGGGGTGTGGAGAGGGAGACCCGGCCAGGAAGTGGGTCAACAGCTGCTCAATGCCCTGCTGAGGAGTCATCCCAGGCAGGCCACAACACCATCCCCATCTGCTTCCTGATTTCTTGTATACTGGGGGTTTATGGGGCTTTTTATATTTCTCTGTTTTTTTCCTCACTATAGGAGGGTTGCCGTTCACACTTGTGATAATGGCTGCATCCTCTTCTCCCTCTTCTTCTTGACTCTCAGATTCTGATGAAGTCTCCCCTCACTGCTTTAACATTTGTTTCGTGTTTGCTTCCTGGGTAGCATCATCTACCTCTATGTCAATTTTAACATTAGTATTTACTGCTTTCAAGCCTTCAATTAGCACCTTCTGGAGGATTTCAGCTTTAACCCCTAGATTTTTTTCTTTTGGGTCCTACCTTTAATCAAAAGTTCATTCTCATTTTCTTGTAAAGGATCACAAGTACTCTGAATTACGGTTGACCAGGCTCTAGCTAAAGCCTTATTTGGTGGGGGCTCCTTCTTCCCAATCTCCCTAGGCAGGAGGCATGCATGGATAATTCTCATCACAACCTCTGCAAGGCTGCATAGGGAGGTTCCCAGTTCTGGGCTGCAATGTGCTTATCACCCCTATTCCTCATAGCGGCCTCTCTCTCTGCCCTTACTCATCTCACTCCTGCGGCTCTTCGAACTTCCCCTTCATGCTAGAAAGTGTCACACAGGTTTGAGTGGTGTGGGCTTAGTAGAGGGCCTCTATGAGGCTACACTTTATCTGGGCCTGGTGCTGACATTTTTATTTTTAGTTAGTTTTATTTTAAAAGCTGTGTATTCCTCACCGGGTGTCGGGATGAAAGCTGGGTACTTCCAGCTGCTCGACAATCCCCCGAGGGACAACCGCGTGGCAGACAGCATTGCTGGTCCCCCTGGTGAGTCTGAGAGAGGGCTCTTACTTGGGGATTCTGAAAGAGCCCCTCTCTCCCCTGAGTGATGCTTGAAGAAGGCAGCAGCAGATGTAGATCACACAAGTATCATAAAAGTAATACTTTATAACATACACTTTGTAAAACTCAAATGTTAGAATCCACAGCAAAAAAGCTATCTGAAATGATTAAATTCACACTATGTTCAAAATATATCATCAGTCACGTCAGGCTTGAAAATATATATCATGTTAGCTGATATTATTTTAAGAGAGTTTCATGCAGAATATTTAAATGACATTCTCTTAACACCAGGATTAATGAAATTGTTATTCTGTGATCATAATGCATTCAGAAATCACATGCAGTCATATTTATGACCACAAATACGGGGATAAATATGCAAGGCGGAAAGGATTGGGAGCTTCACACTTCTTGTTCATGCCAATCAGATAAACAAGACTGCAAACACACAGATTGCCAAAAGTGGACCTCATGTGAACGATTCTGTACAGCCATGGCTTCGTGCACCTTCATAAAATGTTTTGTGCTTACCTTGAACATCCTGTGAACTGACCTGGCCCCCTCTGCTTCAATTTTCTTAGCTTCATCTCCAAAATGTGTAAAGTAGTGCCAATGTGCCACTTCATTAAAACAACAACAATAAAACAGCACAACAAAGCATATTCACGCCCAGTTTCATAGCCTTAGGCCTTCTAACCGGCAAGGTACACTGTGAACTGAGCCCTATGCAGCCTGACAGGCTGAGTCTGTGAGTCTGAGCTAAGGGCACATAAAACCCTGAAATGTACACAAATTGCTGGCATGTATTTGCAGGGCTCAGATCCCACAGGAGTGGAGCAAAAACTGTGTGTAAAAAGACAACCAACTAAGAGGCTTATCCGAGGTGTAAAAGGAAGAATCTTGTTTTTCATCGAGGTGCATATATTTGCAAATTCTTTTACATATGTATAAATCTTACTTGTATTTACAGATTTGTTTACCCATTTACAGATCTCAGTACATGTTCACAGATTTGTGTACACATTTACAAATCCCATTATATATTTACACAACTTAGTACACTTGTAAGTCTCAGTGCACATTTGCAAATTCCTTAATGCCTTCACAAATGCATAGTTGCAGATCTCTTTATATGTTTACAACATATAAAGTTCACAACTCCACACATTTGTAAATATGCACCAAATTTAGCCTCATATTGTCCACTGCAAAACATTTTCCCTGCCTTACACCAAAGAGTAGCAGCAGAAGCAGCCGTTTTGTGTTGCGTTATGTTATATTGTGCTGTATATGAACACACTGGGCTGGCTGAATGACGCGGCAGTGGGAGGTGCAATTAAAGGGCGGTCTCAACTGAGAGCGCATAACAGTGGAGTGGAGCGGGATCCAAACAGCACATCTCCACACCGCCGTGCCTGCTCAGCTCAGCCTCCTCCCCCGGCTGACATCGCAGAAAAGCCGCAGCAGCGGAGGAGCATGCTGTCGCTCCAGCTGTGTCGTTAACAACTCATACACACCTTGAACCTCCGGCTGGAACCTCAAGCTGTAGAAGGAGAATTTTAAAAACATTTTTATCGGTAAGTTTTCATTTTGTCTTTGTATTAGAGTGCAAATGAAATGCAACATTCAAACTGTTAAGGAAAACAAAGCGTTTATTGTGGCTAAAATAACAGTATAACCCGAAAATAGGTCAACATTACAATTCAGTCAGCCTACTAATGTTCTGGTTTTTAAAGAAATATTTCAGCCTATAAAGACATAACAGAGCTGAAGGCTTTTGATTTGCAGGAAGGATTGTGCAACAGGTGTATGTCATTTAGCTCTTTAATGGTTTGACTCTGTCATTATCTATTAGCCCAGAGATATAGTGAGGCAGGAACGCACCGGAACTTTATTTGTCCAAGAGAGGAAAAAGAATCATTTTAACAGCCCTATTTGCATAATCTGGTTGAAATTCATAACGTTGCATTGTTGTGAGCACTTGAAAATCCAATCATCAGTAAAGTTTATGTCCGGTAAATGATATTAAAATTGAAGGTGTAGTTCATTCACGACACGCACTCAAACAATGCGCGCTCCAATCCGCAAGTGTTTGTGTGTTTTGTCCAGTCACATAACGTGGATGGTTCACAGCGACACAGTTTAGTGCCGACTACAGACTCCGTTTACAAAAGTGACAGAACAAACTCTGATCATCGAGATTGGAGACAGACTAGAGCGTGATCTCCAGGAGCGGCCGTGGAGACAAACACCAGATGTGACGCTCAGCAGCAGAAACAGACTTTACATTGAACTTCAGTGATGCTGGGATTTAAACAGACTGTTTTACCTGTGATTGATCAGCTGTAGGTCTGTACTGCTGGTTTATATGTAAACCAACATGAAGCAGGAGGAACTCTCTGAACATTTAATATGTTTTGGAGAAGGGTTAACACTGGAGCTGAGAGCATCTGTTTTCTTATAGCGTTAGGAGGAATTTGACTGGTCATAGCAGATATGAGGGGTATTTTGGGTGGGACATGTCCCCTGATTACTCCCTAGTAATAAGATTATCTATGGTCATAACATTCACCGGTGACAAATGGCTGCTAATTCATATTGTTGTTTGGCCACACCAGAAAATAAAGTCAGTTTAACTTTTGATCATGTGGACAATTACAGTTGCCGCCATAGGAAAAGTGTTTGCATGGCCCTTGAAACAAGCCACAGTTTAATTGTGCGCATGAGCATCATAGGTGGGCTCCAGTAGCTGGTTCTCAAATAGCACTACACCTCTGCTGACATTGTCAGTATGAGCACTGATTTTGTACGTTTTGCTAAATTATATTTAATGATAAACATGTTTTAAATGAAATGGTAATTATGTAAAGGGACAATACTGACATTTAATGCAGTAGAACAAAGATTTATAAACAGATAAACACTGCTTAATTAGCGCAGTCTGAATAAATATCATCACAGACACATTTAAAGAATCTGTAAACCTGACTGGCTTAGTAACGGTCTCACCACTTAATGATGTTGTTTAGGCCACTGAAGCCTTGGGTGGCATTTATTTGCATCACATAAAAGGTCTGTGAGGCAGTTGTGATTGGAGCTGACTGACCACAGCTGATCAAATCTCCATAAGCTTATGGAGATTGGATGGCAGTGGATGTGTCTCTGCAGAGCCCAGGTGCCTCTGGCTGCCCAACACTACTTCACCAAAGAAATCGATGATGAGGAGGTGGGCAAGATGACGTGCACAGGCATGGCTTATTGGATTATTCATCTGTTCTGCCATTTTAAATGTTACTCAAAAGGACCGGTGTGAAAAACACACCAAAATTCTGTGTGAAAATAGCAACATAAGTAAATGTCCTGCAATCGTTTTATCCTGTTAAAAGTACTAAACTAGTTGTTTTACTCATTAGCTGTAGATACCAGTTAAGTATTATAACTCTTTCAGAGTGTTGTATTGCATATAAATATGTAAGAAGCATTTTGATAGTCAATATAGTGAGGATTTTATCTCCTTTACATAACGTTGGGTGGTTTAATCAATAGAAATGTTACTTTTGTAGATTCATGAATCCAGTTACACTGGCCTGGACTGTCAGGGATTGTACATACTGTGTTTAAAGTTTCCAGGCCTCAATAGAGCTGCTGTCAAAGGGGAGACCTTGCAACCCTCTGTTCTTATCAATACCAAGGTATAAATAAGGATCATATTGTGAACTTGCTGCGAAATAAGGGGACAGCATACCAAGGTGAGTCGCCCCATCTCCCGTATGAACGGGGCGAGGCAGAATGGGAAGTTAGAGAGAGAGAAAGAGAGCTAGAGAGTAAATGAGGAGAGGGAGCTGCATCGGTGACAACTAAATCGGAGAATTAAAACTTTGTTTTGTAGTTGTTTTACTGTGGTTACATTCTACAGCACGAATAAGCAGCGCCATACCAGGGCACAGCCCAGTGGGCAGGATTTTGTGTGAATGCAGAGCAAAACGGAAGCTTCGGTCTGTTCTGCTCTGCACTTTGTTGGTGTAACCCTAACCTCAAACAGACACACACCTGAAATTGGATGCATGCAGCGAGCTTCTAATTTCGGATTTTCACTTATAAATGTATCAAACAAAATCCGATTACGGTACAGCCTGTTTGCTTTGTGTTCAAATTGGCTGTAAAGTACACAGCCAATCGGACGCCATGATAAGCATGTAGTACCAGGATCCTTGGAGCAGTGGTTTGCTGGCTTTTTTTAAGATCCATGTAATGGGGGCTTTAAAAGCCACATTGATGTTTGCCATGATATCTGTGTGAAAGGGGAATTTATGTTAACTTGAAGGACTCAACTTGGTTGTCTTGATGTAGTTCCTAGAATAAATATGGAGAAGAAAAGGCAAGCAGAAGTCTTCATAAATTTATGTCAAGGTTAAATACAAAAGAGATTATTGAGAACTGATATGTGCAAGGTTGTCAACATCTATTGAATCTCGTAAACAAAGGCATGGAAAGCGTGGAGGAGTTAGAGCTAAGCTAAAGCTAACACCACATCAGCTCTCATTACCCAGCATTTTCCTCACCAATGTGTAATAATTGGTGAACAAGAAATGGTGGACGAAATACAGCTTCACATCACCAACAGTAAGAGACTTGTGGACTGCAATATTATGATTTTCACAGAAACCTGGCTAAACCGCAGCATACACGACAGTGCTATAGAGCTAGCTAGGTGCTACACACTCGGGGCAGATAGAACGGCAGATGACTTCGGTAAGACCAGAGCCAGAGGACTGTGCATTTTTGTTAACAAAGCTTGGTCATCACTGAGAGACACTGCTCAGCTAACCTTGAATTTCTTATGGTTAAGTGTAGACCTTTTTGTCTGCCTAGGGAATACACTTCAACTATAATAATGGCAACCTATGTTGCTCTGGACGCTAATGCCAAGCTTGCTATGACTGAACTTCACGCGGCCATTAGCAAACAGACTGCACACCCAGAGGCTGCATTTATTGTTGCAGGTGATTTTATTCACTCCAACCTAAAGTCAGTGTTTCCTAAATTCCACCAGCATGTTTCCTGCCACACTAGAGGAAATACAACTCTGGACCATGTTTACACAAACATGGCTGCTTCATAAAAGGTGACCCCCCTTCCTCACTTAGGACAGTCAGATCACCTTTCTTTGTTCCTCATTACCAAGTACTCACCATTCATCCACCATGTGAATCCGTCATTGAGGATCATCAAAGTGTGGCCAGAAAGGACAGACTCTGTACTACAGGACAGGTTTCATCACATGGACTGAAGTATGTTTGCCCCTGAGCTACCTGTGACTCTTGAATACACATCAGCACCTACACTTCCTCTGTTCTGGACTACATTAACACACTACCACTGACAGTGTCACAAGCCAGAAACAGCTCACCACGTACCCAAATCAGAAGCCGTGGATGAACAAGGAGGTGTGGCTCCCGCCGAAAGGTATGTGGAAGGGCATCCAGGTCATCAGTGACTACAAGCCCGGCAACTCCACCCAACAACCACAGATGTCTCCTTTCTCAATGAGCTAAATGCCTTCTATGCTCATTTTGACCGGGACAACAAGGAGACAGCTATCAAGTTCAGATCAAATCCAGACCACCAGCCACTCACACTCACCTCTGGATCAATGTACACAAGGCTGCTGACCTTTATGGCATCCCTGGACATGAGCTCAGGACATGTGCAAGACAACTTGCTGGTGTCTTTATGGACATTTTTAACCTGTCCCTTGCCCAAGCCGTTGCGCTGACATGCTTCAAAGCCATCTTCATTGTGCCAGTGCCGAAACATTCCACCCCGACATGCCTGAATGACTACCGCCCTGTAGCACTCACACCCATTGTCATGAAGTGCTTTGAGCGCCTGGTCCTGGTAAAACTGATGAACTGTCCCTCACCCACATTGGACCCCCACCAATTTTCCTACCGCAGGAATAGGAGCACAGAGGATGTAGTCTCCATAGCACTGTACTCAGAAACCTGGACAATAACAATACTTAACCAAACTTGGCGACCTGGGCATCAGCACCTCCCCCTGCAACTGGATTCTGGACTTTCTGACCAGCAGGCCTCAGCATGTTGGGTCAGACAACACCCACTCCTCCAGCATCATCCTCAACACCGGCATACCACAGGGCTGTATGCTGAACCCACTCCTCTATTCCCTTTTCACCCACAACTGTGCATGGCTCCAACACCATCATCAAGTTTGCAGACGACACCGCGGAGATCGGCCTCATCAGCAACAACGATGAGTCAGTCTACAGAGATCGGCTTCATCAGCAACAACAATGAGTCAGCCTACAGGGGGGAGGTACAGCACCCGGCTGTATGGTGCGCTGACAATAACCTGCTCCTTAACGCCGACAAGACCAAGGAGCTCATTGCGGACTACAGGAGGGAGAAAGGAGGCACACATGACCCCATCCATATTAATGGGATGGTTGTTGAATGTGTCTCCAGTTCCAAATTCCTGGGGACCCACATCTTAGAGGATCTGCCCTGGACCACCAGTTCCCTGGTTAAGAATGCTCACCAGCACCTCTTCTTCC